TTTTTTTTCTCTACTGTGTCGTCCCTACAGAAGCGGGGCCCGGCGTCCGCGCTACGACCGGGCCTTCCCTTGGCCGACCCCCCTAAGGCTGCGGCGCGTATACGGGGAGGCCCGCGGCCGATAGCTGAGCGAGGTACTGGTGGTTTAATGCATTCTTTACAGAAGTACCAAGTGACAGTGGTGTATTTCAAGGGGCAATGGGGCAATGAACGACACGGCTGCGTGAGGAATAGTCACACCGGCACTTTCCTAAATGTATCTGACTGCAGTTACGGCCAGATCTTGATGCATCTGACTGTAATCACATCCAGAGCTCAGTCAACAAGCTCTAGGGTGCGTATGCCCTCAGGCATCACCTATCATGCTTCATCCATGCATACATGGACATGAGAGAGAGAGAGAGAGAGAGAGAGAGAGAGAGAGAGAGAGAGAGAGAGAGAGAGAGAGATTGCGGGACTTGTTTGTAGTCTCCCATGCAGCACAGGGTAACGGCTGCCGGTAGCTCGCTCCCAGGCCTCCATCGCCCGCAGCAGAATGAAGGGTACGGGTAGGGTCATATCAAAACTATTTGTCTTTGTGCCAAACAGCTATCCGGTAGAAGGCGTAATGAAGAGTTGAGCCAGTACGGATAGGGGCATGATGAGAATAATTCAGGCCCAACAGGCACCAGGTTTTTTTCGCAAAGTTGGACCATCCTCCGAGGGGCGCGCCAGGGCAAGGCGGAGGTCAGAGGGGCACTATGCCAATAAATTCAACTTTGAGGGTCATGATCCAAATTCCCCCCCACCAAAGAAAAACATCATCTGTTTGCATTGGCCAAAGCAAGCGCAAAACCAAAGAGAAAAACAAAAAGACAAGTGACATCATCAGGGCATACGGTGGGAGGGAACGGGTGGCTAGAGGAAGGAAGGAAACAGAACATAGCCCTGAATCATTGGCTCCCGCAGCATCACCATCAGCTCCCTTTTCAGCAATAACATCATCATCATGTTCAACTCAGAAAAGACAAAAAAAGGCCATACTCAGACTAGGACTTTTTCTACTCTTTTCTTTTTGTGATTGCTCGTGATTGCTGTCAGGTACATCCAGTCCTTCCGTAATGCCGGTCAGATGCATTAAGGAAAGTGCCACTGTGACTATTTCTCCTACGTCCTGCAGTCAGATGATTCCGCCGTGATTGTGCAGTGTGTGCAAGGTTAGTGGCAATGATTGCTCAGTGTGCGCAAGATTAGATGCAGTGGATCAACCAACAGCGGAAATTGTTTTGGGCGAATTTAGGGGAGAATAGTAAAATAACATCTAGATAGGTCTGGGAGGTTTTCAGAACACTGTGATGGTACCTGATAGAATGGTAAAGGCCAGGTGATGTAAAAACATATGTTTTGTGGGAGAATAGTAAAGATTGTGACATGACAGATTAGCTAAAAGCATTTGGAGTTGTTGTCCTAGACAATAACAAAAGTTGAGATGGTGATCAAACAGATAGAGCTATTACGAGCTTTCTCAATGTATAGATGGGTAGATAGGTCAGACTACACCCGAATGTACGCCCTGTCATCATCGCTGTGTTGATGCTCTTGGGGGTGTGTTGGGCAATCTTTTTTTCTTCTAGTTTGTCTTCTCCTCATGTGGGGGACAAGTGTAGATTTTACCTATCCTATTTTCTTCTCTCTCCCCTCATATTAAACCACCAGTGCCCACCGGTTGGGGTGGCTGTTAACGCGGAATCCAAATCGGCCTGCCCCTCCGGTCCAAATTCATTCGAGGCCGCGGGGTACGAAAAATGCGGTAGGTACTGGTGGTTTAACTCCCCGTATCTGCGTCCTACCTACAAGCCCTGCAATGTATTCAGCAAACAGAATGTATTTAGGAAACAGTTCGCTTCTACAGTATCTAGGGCTAGGGTCTAAGGCTACCTTAAATCGTCAGTACATGCCAGCTATGGTCGCGGGCCCCTTTCGGAAACCGCCCACCACCAATTCATTTTATCTACGGTGCTCGGCCTACTAAATTTCCGGAGAGGCTCAAAACAGGGCCACATCAGTCTACATCAGTTGTCGATTAAATCAGCCTATAAAATGCTCAGACCTAAAAGGTGTTTGAGAGACACAATCAACGACCGGTGGGCCAAACA